CAACATGAATACACCCCACACCAGTCCAGTCAAAGATTTCATACCTGTTATTATCAACAATCATTCATTTCTCTGTTCCTTACACGTCTTTCCTCTATATTTTTCACCTTGATTCCTTTCCTCTCACTTTTCCCCATCTACTACCCTCAAAACTCCCTCTTAAAAAAATGAAAGTTTATTGAAAGAAAGAGAACCTTAGGATCTGAATCTGAAGTTGTTTCTAGGAGGGAGAAGTTTCCTTTTTTAGGACAATCAAGCTATTCTGAGAGACTAGGTGTGTAACTGATATATAGAAGAGTTAGGATTAGTAGAATAAGCCTTCATGAAACATTCAGTGGGTCTTTTTGCTCCATCTCTAGGGAGTTAGACCTCCCAGTTCTCACTTTGGGTCTTTATCTTCTCCTTCTGGGTCAGTGTGACCTTGCAGTAGGATCACCTGAAGTGTGGGCTCTTGCCAACATTAATTATGCAGGTCAACCTTGGTTCTATGCCAGGCTTGGAACAAATGGTGCTCAGGAGAGTTTTACTGTGTGGAACCTCACACTACCTAATTCTTAAAACCAAGTAAGGGATAGTGTCTGGATGACAATCCTCTCACTAAGCTTCCAGTGCTCAAGTTCTGGACCAGCGGTTCTCAATCAGGCACCATTGCTCTTGAGAATATTTGACTAGTTATACTTTGCTACCTTCTCCCAATGGGTTAGCAATAAAACGCAGAGCTAATGGTGGGGGAGCATAATCTTACTAAAGAGACTAAGGGAGTCAATATATGTGGAAAATAAAATTGTCTACCCATCATTGATAACCTCATGCTAACTGACTGGCCATATTAAGAATTTTTAGACTCTAGATGGCCCTGTATCCCAGTGATTAAGGAAGCCATATCCCACATGACTGAATATGGTTTGAATTCCAACTCCAGAAATGGGAAAAACAAGCAGGATGTATGTGAGTACATGCCTTAAATCATGGCAGGATATAGAAATAAAGGAAAAGGAATTGTGGCAAGATGATGTCCTATTGAGAGGTGCTTTCTCCCTCTCCCCCTTTATTTATCTCTCTCTGTTAGACTCACACACCCTCTGACAATTAAAAAAGGAAGTATTTTAAATATATTTTTTATTTTAAATTCTTCTATACATTCAATCACTATACATCACTTATCTTGTAAAGTGAATTCTCCCAACATGAATACACTTCATACCAGTCCAGCTGAGGATACTACACATGTTCTCATCAACAGATATTAATACAATTCTGTGTCCCATACATATCTTACCTCTCTATTTTTCTCCTTATTACTTAAGACACTTTAAAAATGTCTTATATTACACTCCTGGGAATATTTCAAAGGCTGATACTTCTTGGTGTATCAAATTATTCCTCCAAATCTAGAAAATCCTCCAACTCTTCAAGGAACTCTTGTCTTTGTTGCAAACTTACAGCATATCATTCATAAGCATACAATCAGACAGATATATGGGATGTTTATGTTTATGTATCTGTTTATCACTTGGGTAGAGAATTTTATTTTCCACTTACATATTGATTCCCTTAGTTTCTTTAGTAAAATTATGCTTCCCCACCATTAGCTCTGTGTTTTATTGTTAACCCATTGGGAGAAGTGTATATACCTACAATGGTTGACTCTGATCTTGGACATGTGACATTTTCTTCGTTGAAAGAATATGTGTAATCAGACACATTCAGTGGTTAAAAAGAAGCTGAAAAAGGTTTTGAAAGATACCACTACTTTTCCTGATCTCCCCCTCTCAAATTGCCCTTTCTATTCAGAATTCAAGAACAAATGAAGATATGCATAGTCCTGTGAACTTAATATTTTAATCCACTCCACAATTCATATATCCTATTCCCTAATGAGAAGACTTTACCAATATAGAATCCAGTGTAATACAAAAGCATGACATTAAGCCATTAATTATTGAGTTGGTTTGTTATGCAGCAATAGCTTACCATTACAAAAATTAATTCAAAGAAAACAAATGCACATATTCGGAGAAGTCTTCTGCCTCTTACTTATACATATTTGTTCTGATATTTGAAGACAACATTCCTGATTACATGGATAGTCCTGTTTATTTCACATAATTCTATTTAAAAAAGACAACCTTTGGGTTCCCTTCTAGTTAACTAGGAAAGGTTGGCAGATGTTTTTGTTGTAATAAGCTGTGACCTTGAATCAAGTCTCTATTCCTACAGGTGATACTGTAAGACACTTAAATTTTTCATGTGAGTCACCCTTTGATCATGAAGATGGAAGAAAGCTTGGAGTATAAAAGAGACATAGAAATTGACTGTAGTATAAATACACAAATTATTTACCTCCTATTTAATGTTTATCACTTTTTTTTTTTTTGCTAGAGGGCACATGCACTCCCTGGGATGAGAGAGACAAAGAGAAATCATTCTCCAGGTAGGATGGCCATGGCACAATCCTCTCTCCTCCATTCTCAACTTAGGATGTGGGGCATGTATGTACATGTACCAGGAGTGATTTTCAAGCAGCTGAGTGTGGGACTTGAACCATGAAGTCAGCCACCTGGGACTCAGCAGCTTTAACATTCATGTAATCTGATGGCCCTATCACAAAATTCTTTAAATGGAGGATATTTATTAGAACAATGGAAGGAGTCATATGTAGACAACCATGTAAATTGAAAGCAGAAACAGAAAGACAGTACAATAAAATAATGTAAAACACAAAATCAAATTTATGCTTCCTTGAGTAGATATGCCTCATCAAAGCAAATCTTCCATAGTGACTCCATGTATGGCTGAAAATCCATCATATTAAAGATCTTCTCTAACATTAATTGACATAAAGTCAATTGATTTACATTGATTTCCCTTGCTGTGTAGACTACACATGGAACATGTATTAGTTAAGAAACTTAATGAGACCAGCAGTTAGTGTAATGGCTATGTCGCTTGACTCCCACGTAGTCAACCATAGTTCAAGTCCTGGACTCGGTGACTTAGACTCACACTGGGTGCATGTGTATGTGTGTGCCCAAGATCCCTAGAGGAGAATGGAGGAGAAGGGATTGCGGCGTGGCCATCCCCCCCTGGAGGATAATTTCTCACTTTCTGTCTCTCTGTCTCTCTTTGTCTTTCTGGTGAGCACATGTGCCCTATAGAAAAAACCTCTCCCCAAAAAAGCAAGTTAAAGTATAGTTACTTATTTAATCTTTTATTATTTATTTTATTATATTGTTTATTTATTATTAAATATTTATTTACGTTCATTTATTCTTTTTTTTTTTTTTTGGAGAGGTTTTTTGCTATAGGGCGCGTGTGCTCACCAGACAGAGAGACAGAAAGTGAGAAATCACCCCCCAGGGGGGATGGTCACGCTGCAATCCCTTCTCCTCCATTCTCCTCTCGGGATCTTGGGCACGCACACACACACGCCCAGCGTGAGTTTTAAGCCACTGAGTCCGGGACGCCAACTGCGGTTGACTACGTGGGAGTCCAGCAACATAGCCATTATGCCAACTGCTGCTTCCCAATTATTGTTCTTCATTAAATC